TCGTACCAGACATGGGGTTCTGTAGGATGAGAAATAGCTGTCTCCGACATAGAATTTGCGTAGGTACCAATCTTGACAGATGCTGTGTTCACATAGTCGAAGATGGCACCAGCGAGAATCACGACAACTTGGCCAAGGTGAACGGGCGTAATTTCTTAGGAGATAAGCTGGTGCGACAGTTACTAGTAGTGTATTAAATACCATGTCTATTGATTGTATATCCATTTCTCCAACAATTAAAGATAGCAATCTTGACTATCTATTGTATAACCCATTTATTTAGTATAATTTTAGTCAAAAAATTCTATATGTCCGATGGGATGTTAATCATGGTCCATGCATTAGTCCTGCTGTGTACTGACCAGCGGAACGAAACCTACTCATCTATCTCGTCGTGTTGAGTATCAACCAACAAGCCCACACGTAGTTGTTTTTAGCGTTAAAGCCGGGGTCGATAGAATGTGAATGGAAATGCGAGAAAAGCTACCGTAACGCTTCACGAGCTTGATGCGACCAATGTCAGGGGAAAGCGTATCGATAAGGTACTGATTGATATCACCTGGTGATAAAGTACTTGATAAGGCGCGGCTTTATAACGCGTGTTAACAGTTTTCCAAGTGATCGATAAAGGCTCAGCTATCGGAGTTTCTGGCAGAGGTTTGAGAAAAATATTGGCCGGATAGCAATACTTTTCTGGACACTCCAGCGCGGTATTGCAGACGTTCAAGAAACTGCAATCCACATTGTGGTATCCAGCGATATTTTTATGCCGTATTGCAGATCAAAGCGCTATACATACATATTGTGTTGCATTGCCTAAATTCAAGTATCGTCAGTGCTATTAGAGGTGGGTAGCAAACACCAATCAATCATTACCAAACGCGGTGTGCAGGCTAAATGACCGCACGGCAAAAGAGCAATCTGAACAGCACAAGGGTTCCTTTAAAATTTCAAGATGCTGCAAACGACACAGTGATAAATTTACGCACACTCAATCAAAAATGAATATCCACAGGTTAGATTATAGCAGAAACCCATGATCTGAGTCTCGTGTGTTGGGGATATGCAGAGAGCACGGCTTGCGATAAGGTTCGTCGATTAGACAGCGAAGAAAATAAGCTCGAGCGCTCGTAGCAGCGAAAAAAAATAGTGTATGTATTATCTTGAAAACCGTATTGCATGACGTGCTATATTGCAAGCAGATGAAGTTTTGCAATAAAGAAGCCTTTCAATTCAAATCTGAATTGTGGTAAGCTTATTTACAATAAGAAATACTGTAATTTACAGATAGAGCTAAAAATGCCATCCAATATATTTTTCAGATTTATTGTGATCGTTTATTGTGATTTCAAAATAATCAATTATTGTGATTGGCAGACAATCACAACTTTGGTTTTCAGCCCTGCCTGGTTCTTGGGGAATTTGTAGCGTATTAGTTACAGTGGGTTTTAAAATACACATATGTACTCTACCTCCACCTTCACTCAGACCAGAATCGGGATAAAACACCTGCTGCAGCGCTAGCTAGGTTCGTAATATTTTGAGATATTGTGTGACACACAGGTTCGCAGGTGAGATTAATTAAAAAATCAAAGGCGACGCTTCAGTACCAACAATGCGAGTTATTGCAACCCTAAAAGAGAAGTGGGGGTAAGGTCTGCTTCGAAACATTAGAACCCAAAATCAATTACGAAGTACGCGACGAGATGCAAAGCACAGCTGACGTTACTTACATGACATAGAATTGCACAACCAGATGATCATTACCAAATCAATGAAAAGTGTAAACGTTGATTTAAGATTTTACTATATGAATTTGGAATTCTGCATCTCTACAGCGCAATCAGGCTTCAAATGGTAGAGTACTAAGCTGTGAACTTTGCTTTAGGAAGTAGCTGTTGCGCTCGAGGTAGAAGAATGTAAAGTGAGCTTTATTGTCTTGTTAATCCTCTTCACTAACCAGCTCCTTGTGAGCCTCTTCTTGTTGTCGTCTTGTAGTCAACGTGTATTTGTAGGAACGCCGTCGTGTTGCTCGTGCCATCGAGTCTCGTAGTCTCGTCCGCCGTAGTGTCGTTCTCGTTTTATCGGGATCTCGGCCGTATCGGTACCTTTCAACACTCCTCCCCGATGCTGGTGAGATTACTCCAAGCCGCAGGCGCCACGCAACTTAAGCACTCGAGGGGCCGGTAGAGCCTTCGTGAGTAGGTCAGCAACCATGTCATCAGTAGGCATGTGCACAGGAGCCACAATTCTCTTAGCAGCGTAGTCACGGAGGAATTTCAGACGGATATCGACAGGTTTGCTCGTCCAGAGCTAGCCTCGTTTGCAATTTGCTTGATAGCGGCCTGGTTGTCAATGTACAGGATAAGTGGTAGTTGGACTTGTAGTCCGATCTCAGTCAGTAGTTCTTTTAGACCGAGTAACTCCTGTCCACCGCATGAAGCAGCCACAAAGTCTTCTTCCGCTGTCGAGAGTGCCACAGCTCCTTGCTTTTTACACTGCCAACCAACAATCATTCCGTTCATCGTGCGCACCATTCCGCTAACCGACTTGCGGGTATTCTTGTCTCCTCCAAAGTCCGCATCCGTGTAACATACCAGCTAAATTACGTCCGTCATTTTCGGTCCTGGTTTCCCCTTCATGTGTAGTTTCAGCTCCATCGTTCCGGCTAAGTACCTCGCAATGCGTTTTGCTAGCTTCCAGTCCTGTAACGTCGGTGCGTGTGTGCGTCGAGTTGCTCGCTGCACCGCAAACGCTATGCTGGGCGAGTACATCTCGCAATCCAAAGTAAACTGCCAACAAAGGACTGAAACATCTTGATGGTCGGCATCGCAACCTCCGGAGTCTCTCGGGCGCTTTCAGGGAGTAAAAGTTCAGTCTCCGAGGTACACGCTTCTTCTCCAATTGGGCACCGCACCGCATGTGCATTCTCCAGTCCGTGCTTGGCAAGCAATTCTTTAATGACTTGCTCCTGGTCCAACGAATATCCAGTCAGTTGGTCGTACGTAATTCGGACAGCCAGAAACTTAGTAGCTGGTCCAAGGTCCTTTAGTGACAAGACTTGCATGTCTGCGAAGAAAGTGTCGACGCAACCTGTCGAAGTCCCTGTCACCAGTAAGTCATCGACGTAGGTGCCCACAACTGTCGTTCCTTGCGAGTCCACCTTAAAATACAAGCAGGTATCCGTGATGCACTGAGTAAACCCGAGCTTTAGCTTTGACGTTGGTGCCATAAACGGCCAGCTTGCTTTAACTCGTACAGGCTCCGATCCAGTCGCAGTCCCAGCTCCTTTCTATCGGATGCGCCAAGCTCCAAAAGCAATTCTGCGCTGACCTCCATTCCGTCCGGGATGTATAGAATAATATCAACTCCCTCTTCGGCCATCGCCTTCACATAGGCGTTTGGCACGTCGCCGTAACGCGCAGGAACACCCCAAATTCGAGCCAGCGCCAGTACAGCCTTCCCACTTGTCATCTCGAGCACAGCCGCAAATGTTAGCGTGTAATTAACGCCCAGTACTTGCTCGTTTCCACACGCCACTAATCGGGCCTTGTATATTTCGATACTTCCATCCGCATTGAGCTTTTTCATGTATACCCACTTGGTGTGTAGTCGTGTCGTATCAGGGGAGCATTTAACGGGCGTCTAAGTTGCATTGGCGATTAAGGCTCCAAGCTCAGCTTCTTCCGCCTTTTTCCATCGTGGAGCGTCTTTTCGGCGGTGAGCCTCACGATAGTTCTTGGGTTCGGCTGAGGGCTCAGGATCACTGATAGATGTAAGTGCCACGTGCGCTAATTCGTCAGTCTCGCCTTGAGCGACTTCAGCGTGTTCATCGGCTTCTTGCTGCTTGCGGGACTTGCGGCGCTTCATAGTCGAACGTCGCAGCGGTCTTGGTTCTACTGGTGCTTCTTTTTCTTGATGGTCTTGACCAATCGAGCTCGAAGTAGATCCTTCTTCGTCTTGGCTGCTGTTTTGATGAGTGGAGACCTCGATTAGAGGTACTGGCTCCTCAAGATTCGCGACATGTTGTGTGGTCACCACAATTCGATCGGTTGGTAGATACACGATGTGTCCTTTCGTTATCTCGCTTTTTCCAATCACTCGCCCAGTAACAGCCCGCCTCTTTAAGGACTTCTTTTTCTGGTCACGACGCACAGTACACTTGGCTCCGAATGTTACCACGTCTCGTAAGCTCTGCGCCTTACCAGTAAGCACTTCGATCGGGGATTTCCGTCCCTCGTTGGCTCGAGTCGGGCTTCTATTCAAGATAAAAGTGGCATATTCAGCGGCGTCACTCCAGAAACTCGGCGCCATATCTGCACCAAATATCATGCACCTGACCATGTTGAATATAGTTCGGTGCATGCGCTCAGCTTTGCCATTAGAAGCTTGATTCGACGCTTCACTGACTTGCCGCGACACACCTTCCTCCTTGCAGAACTGTCTACGTTGCGATATTCTCCACCACCGTCTGTGCGAAGCACATGAATCTTGCAAGAGAATGTCTTCTCGAAGAACACCAGAAAGTCTTTAAACTTTTGGGCTGCTTCATCCTTCGTCTTTGCCGCAAAAACGCTGCAGTAGTTACTCTTGTGGTCGATGAAGTTGACAAGGTAACGATTTCCATGGCGGTCTCGTGGGGTCATCGGGCCTTTTAAGTCACTGCAAATGACACCGCCGATCCGTTCAAGTGGCGCATTTTTGCCGGTATCCTTCTTAGACTGCACCGACTTCGTTTGCTTTCCTTCGGCGCATATTAAACACGTTTTACGGGTGTGGCTTGTGATAGCGATGCCTCGTCCGCCGCCTGTGCAGACATTTCAACAAAGCCCACCTCCTCAAACACCCGTCCAAACGCGCGACGACGAGCAGCAACGACAAGGAAATGGCGAAATTGCGTTCGGCTATCCGAATCACAATCAGTCTAAATTAAGCCTTCGCGACTTTGATGGGCGAGAGACGTACAATGGTTTGGGCACTGATTCGAGCAGTGGGGGTTGATGTTTATCGGCCACGTAGACATGGCAGAACGGGCCTGTGGTTTTAGATGGCCAGAAGAAGTGAAGCTCAACAAGCTCGCCCAACACTTGACTGGCAAGGCGGGACGTTTCTTCCGCGAGCAGGCTGGTGTGTGGTGGTCAATTTGCCCGTTTCTATTCGACGCTCTCGAACAGATGAACGCAACATTTACCGTTCGGTTGTCGATGGAGGATGCTGCGCGACTCTTCACAGAAGAGAAAGATCACACTCGCTCGTGGAACGATCATTTCTTGTACCTAATAGCTCTAATGAGAGCGACTGACGTGTCTCCAGCGATGGTTCTACAGAATATCGTACGCCACGCTTCACCGAGCTTTAGTCCTACTCTGCTTGGTCGCTACAATGAAAGCCGACAAGATGTAATGATGCACGCACAAGAGCTGGTGCAATTTTCCCAAAGGTTTGACCCTGGGTCGTCCGATAGCAAGTCGACAGGAAAAGACGTGGTGGCTGCAATCACAGACTCGGATTCTTGGAAGTGCTACAGCTGCAATAACATCGGTCACATCTCGCGTGACTGCCCTCAACCGAAGCGCGAGCGGCGCAGCAGAGCCGCAGGAGCGAAGAAGACAGCGTGGGCCCTGACTGCCAATGTCCCGAAGCTCGGTGAAAAGGCCACGAACGACACCTGGATCATCGACAGTGGAGCGAGCCGGCACCTCCTTAACGATGCCAGTCTCCTGTGTGACGCGGAAGAATGTGAGCCAACCGATTCGCTCATTATGCCCAATGGCAGCGGGATAAAGGTGACCAAGAAAGGCTTAGTCACGCTGAAGAAGGTGGTTGGAACGGACGTGACAGAAATTGTTCTGAGTGATGTATACTACGCGCCGACGCTGGCCCGGAACCTGATGTCGCTTGGTAAGCTACTGAGGCGTGGGTGCTCTCTGGTAGAGGTAGATGGGGGGGCTAGCCATTGCGAGCGGCCAAAGAGATCATGTTCCCTGTCGAACTCGATAATGACGTCCTTGTCACTGAATTTAACGCAGTTCGCAAGACGACGACAGCGGCTGGCCACGCGATGAGCGCTTTGACGGAGGCCCTGAAGCCTGCCGCCGTGCAACACGATACACTCATCAGCTTCCATGAGCGTTTTGGTCATTTGGCGCTTGACACGGTCGAGCGCATTGCGCGCAATCCGGATTCGATCGCGGTAGAGTGGCTGGGGTGCACCACCATAAAAGCTTGCATGCCCCTTTCGTTCAGGCGTCTGCACACCTTGTTGGTCGCCATCCCCAAGCTCATCGAGCTGCATCCGCTGCAGGCCGAGACTTCCGTGTTCGATTGCTTGGCGGAAACCACTACTCCGGCGAAGTTGCTGATCCGGAGAGACAGCCGTTTGGCGTGGCGTCACGGCTCGCTCAATCACGTCGATGCGAGAGGTCAGTTGCTTAATAGCGTCGAGGAGAGCGACCGTGGTTGGACTTGACTTATCTTCTTGACTATCATCGCTCCTTTCGCGAGCGGGAGATGTTGCCGCCGGCACTTGCGCTGCCGGTGTGTCGAGGTCACCGCTTGGGCTCATAACCTTTAGGAAGTAGCTGCTGCGCTCGAGGTAGAAGAATGTAAAGTGATCTTTATTGTCTTGTTAATCCTCTTCACTAACCAGCTCCTTGTGAGCCTCTTCTTGTTGTCGTCTTGTAGTCAACGCGTATTTGTAGGAACGCCGTCGTGTTGCTCGTGCCATCGCGTCTCGTAGTCTCGTCCGCCGTAGTGTCGTTCTCGTCTTATCGGGATCTCGGCCGTATCGGTACATTTCAACATTTGCAACATACCGAAAGCCGAAATTTAGCTCGATCCATACTTAGTGCTGCATGGACTAGCAGCTCGGCTCCCTGTATTGCTCGCCCGTTGACTACCTGCGCTCTGGCGTCGTCTTACCAGCCGATGTGTGATTTAAAGGCTAGCACGCCGGTTGTCACGGTACTCAGCGACATTAGTATTCAGGAGCAATAGAAATCAAGAGAAGTCTTGAGCACTCCGATTGAAAAGTATTTTTTATCGACAAAGAGGAGAGTTCACAAGCTGATGGTCAACGAACGGATCCAGCGATAGGCTGAGCGAGAACTTAATTTTGTTTAGCACGGATATTCTTCCGGAAATCCTCAGCAACTGTTCATTTCAGCTCTAAAAACGAATTTTACACGAAAACAAATGGCTTGCCAAAGCAAATGAAAAATATAGGATTTATAAGACAATTGGACTTAAAAATTGTATCAGCCGACTATTTACGCATAGGGTGGTCCACACATTCGTGAAGTAATCCCTATAGGGCCGCCCATACAACGTGTAAACCCGATGCACTACCAGGATTAAATTGAAATTGTTCAATTTTTATCGGTGTTACAGATGCGAATAAGCTGCAGTTGGATTTACATTACTAGAGCCTTGTCAAAAAAGGAAATTCGAGCATTTTTTCTTATCTTTTTTTTCCTCTGAAGTAGCCCTATGAAAACCGAGGTGACAAGATTGCCCCTTTATAAAGCGGCAAAAAGAAAAGGTGCAGCACCTACTTCTTTTGGACAATGACGGTTTATTTGAGAACGGATGCAGAGAAGGGGGAAGTTGATGCGGGCACGAAAGGCGCCTACGACGGCGAGCTGCGCTCGAAAACACCACAGTGTTGTTGGGGGGGTATAAGGCTTAACACAGAGCGCCTACAGTCTGCATGTGATAGCAGGATTCAGCACCTTGTCGAAGCTGTTGCTCCCCGCCACCTAAACTTGCAGCGTGTCCGTCCGTCTGTCAATAAGTCCGCCCGTTTCCTTTCTTGCTGCTTTTTCCTGCCTTTTCGCATGGCTACACTCGACCTGGCTAATACAGTTTCGTCCCATCCTACCGACCACGCCTATCTTTCTGACTCGACCTAGCTATGCCAAAATTACAAAAATAGCCAAAAAGCGGACACAATTAACTCGAGCCCTGATTGGGCAATACCTGCCGACCTGCGAAACTGACTGGATCTGCTGCACGATCAGACCGTCTCTTGCCCTCGCGATTGGACGTGATGTAAGCATTTCTGCCGAGAACGAAACACATCGATTGGATACAAACACCAAAGCGAGTAGTGTTGACAGCTCGATATTCACATTTAGCTACGCAAAACCTGTTCTATGTGCATCTAAATCGGGCACGCTAACCACCGCGTTTTGTAGGGGCTTTGTAAACATTATTGTTTACTTATCTGGCACTCGCCACTGTCAGCTTGCAAGAAGGCGCGCGGCTGCACGGTCATTGCGCTATCTGCTCCCGTGCACCGCACTCGGCGAATGCATGCGCGCACGGTACATAGTGTTTTTAGTCACTTTTATTGCATGTAAAGTATGTATTTGTTTAAATATCAGATATTATTACTATTAAAGCAAAGCAAAATATTAAATATCAACTTTTTAATATTTTTAAATATAAAATAAATACCAGCCTTATATTTTCGTGCTATTGGCTAATATTTGGACGCAAGTAATTGGTTAAAACAATATAGATTGCTAACTTACTCACAGTTTGCAAAATGGTGGGCCCTATGTGCAAGCAATGCGAGGCGAAGATTGACCCGCTTCTGCTGAACCCGCAGCGGTCTACGACGGATTTCCGGGCGCGCTGCGTCGGCTACGGGAAGCTGCAGTACGGTTATGCGCTCCGTACGATCCGTACAATCAGTGGGCGGGACATCGTGCGGCGCTGTATTGCCTGCGAGAACGGCCCAAAAGCGATTGAGTTCTAGGAGGAAAAGCTCCCACCACCTGATTCGGCCGAAGTGCGCCGCCAGGAAAGCCTGTCAAACGTCAAGAAGACAATGGGTCCTGACTGGTACCCCAAGAAGAAAAAGAGGCGAAGCCATCCTCGCAAGTCGACCGCCCGAAACGCCAAGTACATCGAGCAAAAGAAGAAGCAGAAGACCAGGTAATTGTAAAATATACACTTTTAGGCCCCTTTACCCCGCTTATCTTTGTATGTTGTATACTGGCGGGCAGCGCGAGGCTTGGGGCCGCACTTACGAAAAACGGATTACAGCGCTACCATTAGTGTTGACGCACCTACAGAGCGTAGCGCGTTTCCTATAATAACTAGAACAAGGTATGTACTGTGTACCTTTGCAAGCTGGCCGTCCCTAAGTGCATACGCGTCACCGTAGACGGCAAGTACACTCACTCATTTGGACACAAGCTAAATCATGCTTCATGTACAACTAACGCTCACAGCCTATATTACACTAATGCGCGCTCGCACTTGAAACTACAGTATTGAGTGAGCACTACGCGCGAAGCATAAATTGCTGTCAACATCGACACGAGGACGTGTGCGGTAGTGTTGCCCAAACAGGTGTGCGTGGCAAGTCGATGTGTCTGTACGCAGTACTATACTTTACCTCCATGTCCATAATGGAAGAGCTAGGAGCTCGGTTAAGTCGCGGGTGACCAAGGTGTACCCGCCACGCGCGTATATATCATCCAACAGACACACAGTCAGCTAGCCTGTATCTCTATGACACGTGCCAAGTTAGTGACGCACCTCGTCATATAGACTGATACATCAGAAGCGTAAGCACAGTAAGCCAGCACCATGACGCAAAGGTACCGAGAAAGTGACAGTGACCCCACGTGCTTTGTCTACCGCGAGAGCGTGGCGTCGACGAGCTTATGAAATAAGTTATGCATAGACATATCAAACAACACGCCGAGCTCATAAGTAGTAGCGAGAGTACAGCATCTAACGTAAATGAGCTACAATTCGATTCAAATCTAAACACCACTACAATATGAAAATCTGCGTATTTCGATATGGTTTCGCATGTTCTTCATACATATCAGAGCTTGGTACTCGGAAAGGATCTACGCCACTCGGTCAGTCAGTAGCTATGCAAATAAGTCAGTAAGTGCGTCAGCTAGGCAAGTAAGATCAATGCATGCGAAAGATAGTGAAAAGACCCTTCAGTAATATCATAAAGAACTCTGCGGAACAATTTCAAGACATAATATTGGTGTTTGTGGCGATCATCGGCAAAACCTTCCTGTACCAAAAGATACTTCGCGCGAGGAGCTGACCAAACCTTGCTCTAATCGACCGTCGCAATCAATGATATTGTGTCGACTGCCTCACGGCGATGACGTGACAGATGGTATTATGTTTGAGTAGGCGTATTCCTAAACTGGGATTCTTCACCGATCTATGCCAACTTTGGATCACCATCGATACTGACATGTCTTCTGAACAGCATATATTAACTTTGCAACCACGCGCGCCTCCGATTCGTGTCATTTTGGGAGTTATGCGCTCAAATGAGATTATAGACAAAACCTTCCCAAGTAAGATGGTGCTCATCTTGAAGATCACGTTAAACCTTGGTCATGTCTACCATAACATGTGAAACTAAGGATACTGTGTGCGGTGTTGTTTTGGAGCGTAGCATAAGTTGATCACAGTATACATATACTATATGTAGCTTCGCTTTGAGTAGAAACTCTAAGCCCACCGCAGCTCAGGGGACGTGGTCAACCCTCTCTACACCAACCAACCATGCCCTAGCGTCCGCGGAGCGGGCGCCCAGAACGCTACAGTACTTACAGTAATTAGTCTTCGCTCAAAATTAGTCTATCTTCATAATTAGTCTATAGAAAACTAATTAATGGTCTGTAGAAACCACGAAGTTCAAAATTAGTCTTCGCTATAATGTTCAAAATTAGTCTATGCTGGGCACGTTTTGGCGAAGTGGTTTGGTTTCTGCCCATCCATTCCCATGACCTGAGCTCGAGTCCCCGCGTGTGATGATTAGCCGGCAAATCTGTCGAGGCCCTAAGCGCCGAAGAGACAGCTCTTTCTTTCTCTCGTACATGTATTGGGTGGAAAAGCGCCGCTAAATGAGCAGGTGGTTTTGCCTATACCCTTTTACTTGTACCCATTTCTTTCTTTCTTTGTACCTAATACTTTTTGTTTTACACTAAGTTCTTTCTTTTTGGGTTTTAATTATTATATTTGTGTCCATTGTTCAGCATATTTTCTCATATTCTTTCTTCTGGTTCAATTCCGCTCTTCTATCCGCCTAATTCTTCATGTTTAGAAAATATGAAAAGTTTTCTATACCAATTCAAGTACAACCAACAAAGCGTGCTGCCGTAAGCACCTAGTCATTTCTCAATAATCTGCACAAGGAAGAGTTTGCAATGAAATCCTCTGACACGTCCCCGTGTGCTGGTTGCGGAGAGAACGTTGGCAGCGTGCATCAATGTCCCGGGTGTAAGCGATCAATGCATCCCTTTTGTGGGAGCCCCGTCGGGGACGAAGGTTTTGCTCAGTGCATTCGGTGTCCTGACTGCTCAAGTAAACTTCTGCTCTCCAGGACAGATCTGTCAGGTATCACGAAGAACCATGCTGCACCCCACGAGGTGCGCCTCTCGTCAAGCTCGCCAATAATTGCAGCTTTCGCAAGAGCAGAATCTCACGTTCAGGCCAATTCAAACAAGACTCGTCACAGCAACGCCACAACGCCGCAATCGCCACCACCAGAAACACAGCTACAAAGTTCAACTTCGATGACAGCAGTGGTACGAGCTGTCATCTTGCCTCGGCGTAGCTCAGGCTTATGTACGTCGTCTTCAGCTCAAGTCGTCTCGACGATCGCTCAACGAAAGAAGGTGCTCCGATGGATGGTGAAAATAGAGCAGTTACACGGCGACGTTAAACTATTTCCCAAAGCCGTTGACCATTTCCCGTCAATATTCAAGTCTGGAACGCGGAGTGCGAACATTGCTAAGGCTGCGGATTGGTGGCGGAAGCGAACGAGGTTCCTCGAAGCTGCTCGTGGGTCGACAGCATTGTCATGACGGAGATCCGGTGGCCGTGTGCGAATAAGCCGCAAGACTAGTATAGGAAGATGTCGGCGTACGAGCCCGTGGGTATTATGGCTGTATCCTGTACTTCTATCTGAATTTGACCGACTACGGAAAGCAGGGTTGAAGTTTGACGCGCCCTTACTCCGCCAAATTGCGATCCGCCAGTTTCAAGTCCCTGGAGCAGTGTTCTCAGAGACGTCGGAGGATACGCAAGGAATACCTCTCTCCTCCAAAGTCACGTCAAGGTGGATACAGGCTTTCATGGAGAAGCATCGAATCGTGCTCCGAACGCACACAGGGAAGAGACAAGTTAGCCCCGAGAAACAGACCCAAATTGAGCGTGAAGTTGCAGCTCATCTTGGTCAACTGAAGCAGGACTTTACAAAAGGCACTCTGAATGAGTGTGCAGTTGAAAACATTGATGAGACCCACTTCATGATCGATTTCGACAATGGCAAGCTGGATTTGCTGGCGAAAAAACGATTAAGTATGCAGATGTAGTATCTGGGGGTGAGGGCATGACAATGGTTGTGTGCATTTCGGGGGTCCAAGTGGATATATCCACCCGCCAATGATGACATTCACGAATGTTAATAGGAGTTATCCTATAAGAGGTGTCGAGGACAACGTTACCGGGGCATGCTATCGAACAGGACCGAAGGGGTGGATGGATCAACGCCTCTTTCGGCAGTACCTTAATGAAAAGCGAGCCATGACTGCGGACTCCCACGGACGCCAGAAGACCATATTTCTGGACAACTGCTCGGGCCATCTAGAGGAGTCACAGTGTCCAGATGAGCTCAAAAGACTTAACGCAAGATTGCATTATTTACCAGCTAATGCGACAGATCTATGTCAACCAGCTGACTCGTTTGTCATTGCAAAAATTAAGGATGTGTGGTCTCGAATGTGGAACGAGAAGAAGATCGAGCTAATCGAAGATAAGCAGTGGCAAAATAAGATACGGCAGCTACTCAGGTAAGCTAAAGAACTCCGGCAAACGTTTTTTCCTTGAGTTAGCGGCTGCAGCAATTCGTGAAGTAAACAATAAGAGAGATAACAACGGGATCAGCTACGCGCGCAAGGCGATGATGCGCTGTGGTTTGTCATTAGGTGTTGATGGGACGTGGACAACATCACAACGCTTTCCTCACTTACAGGAAATCATTAAGAAGTATCCACAAGAGTTTGCAGATGGGAACTTAAACTCTATTGACGTATCTGACTCAGACAGCAATGTTTCAGTTCATGAAGCAGAAAAAGATGCCGTCTCAGTCGATAGTGATACCACTACTGTGGTCGAAGAAGTAGTTGTCTAAGATGTTTAGTGATGCATTTGCCCATAATAAATCCTGCTGTTGTATGCTGAGATAGACTAATTTCGAGTTCATAATTAGTCTATATTCAAAAATAGTTTGTGTGTCTTAACTAGTGACTAATTATTGTGAGCTCCGAAAAATAGAGTGTTCGTATTTAGTCTAGTTACTGAAAGTACTGTAGTCGAAGCTGTAGTCAGCGACGCACCGTCGATCTTCATAAACACTACACTACAGCGGCTGCAGCAGTATTTTCAGTGCACACACAGGCTCGCAAGACGGGAGCGCTGGAAGAAAAGAAGCGCATAACCTCCTGGTTCGTGAGGTACTAGCACTACTGCACGGCCCTAATGCCCAGGGCTATGTATGGGGGCCAGGGGACTCCTAGTTTAGTCGTCACATCTTAGCCATTACGTGTCCTCGCTATAAGCCTGCACCCAAACGGCATTTGTATTGAAAGCTATACTTAAGCACTTCCGCGTGAGCATGGTACCAAGCTCCTCAGCCTGAGCCCTCACGTCGCGCCTGGTGTCGACAATAATTTTTCAGATACAACCTATTAGAGGGTTTAGTATGAATTTGGATAGGTCTATTAGTATTAATTATTGTAGCGCTTGGACATACCAACAATTTTTTTTTCTTTTATTTTTTTAAAGCAGAAAAAATCGGCAGCCAAAAAATACATCGATTTTCTATTTGGACAGCGATCTTAGATCCAAAAATATCGCGCCTTAGGTTTATGATGTGGCTTTACCACAGAAACGGTATTGTTCGCGCTTCATAGTGTATATCACTGATATTTAAGGTATACGCTCATAATTTGCGAATATCTTACTTTTTGTGCCTGTGGCCTAATACAATACGTATTCTAATTAATATTTTGGTTTTTCTCCGTACTAATTTTTTTTGCTATTGCTGTGCAAAATCACTAATACATTTCTTTATGGTCAAGGATAGAGGCACCAAACAAGAGCTCGTAAGACTTTAAATGCTGGCATGAAACAATGAGCGTTTATTACCCACTACGCACTGTATAAAATGATATTGGGGATGGATGTCATGTCTCGCAAATCCTGAACATGATCAAGGACACTCTGAGTGTAGCTAGCTAGGTCATGCTCAAGCCATCCTCTGAAGCCAACCTCTGAAGCGCATACAATTTAAAGCACTAGCCCGGATCATCAAACTCCGTTTCGGATGAACTGAGAGAGACTACATCACCCCTTCTTTTACACCCTAGCCCTGTTTGGTGCCTTTATCCAGCTCCTTATTGTATTGTCCGTGCACTATTCATTAAAGTACGCTGAAGTAAATTTCACTTGAACTTTGCAAAGAATCGTCATCATGCGACAATACCAATTTTCGACTTTTCGACTTTCCAGGCGTACCGGTACGAAGTCATTCTTTTTTATTCGCCTTCTGAGGAGTCCATGTGGTTGCTGAGCCTGAGTCTGGGATGCTGTCTGTGTGTGTGCTGCTGTTGCTGCTGCTGCTTCGCTGGACTCTTCGATGAGGGCAAGGTATTCCCACTCCCAGTGCCAATTAGGCGGCCCGATGTGAGGACTTTTCGACCGACTCGCCGCGCACGCGCGACAGAATCCCACTAAAGAATGGCCGTAAGCCGCTGGCCGGGGCACCGCTGGAATCCTCCTTATCCACCATGCTCACACGCAGAACGGACGACGTGCGGGTTGACTGCTCGAACGGACTCTCTTCGATACGCTCCACAGTCGGCAACTGCATCCCTCGCGGGCGATGCTGATCTTCTTGCTCACTAGTTAGTGGCGCTGCTGGTTTCGCCTCCATCTCATCCTGATCATCCGATTCCATGTCCACGTCTGCAGTTTCCCCCGTCTCCAGTCGCTGCATCTTGGCTGGTGGCCATGTTGTTGTCGGATCCTCTGGTCGTTCACGTGTTTCCGTTGCTAACGTTTCGTTCACTGAGTCGCGCAAATATCCGATATCGACGGGATTTTGCTTGTAGCTCGACAGGCGCTGCGCTGTGATAGCTGCAGCTGCCACCACACTTGCTGCTGAGATGGATGGCCTCGCTCCTGCTGAGGGCGTCGTAGCTGCACTGTTCGCCCCAGATCGAGGTGTGGAGGCCCCGGAGCCGAAGCCGAAGCCGAAGCCGAGAGTACTGCGAGGTGTGAGGTTGTTAGCGATGTACGATCGTGGCGAATGGCTATCATTAAAGAAGACGCCAGGATTGCGACTTCCTCGCGCCTGACCTTGTGCTCGCCCACGAGCGTCGTAGGCTGATCGTGTGGACGTCGTAGAGCGAATGGAAAGATTGGACTGTGCCGACGCGTCCGAAAAGGCCGAGGGCGTACGTGGCCCGCCACCATTGCCCATGTAAAGATCCATCAGGTTCATCTCATTGTGTGCGATCGTGCTGCTAGAAGTAATGGAGGAGGTAGATATATCCGACATGTGTCCATCATCATCTTGCCCACCAGTCTTTTGCACTCCCATATTGCACACCGAACAGATGCGAACGTTTTTAAGCGTGGTGCCTGGCACCTCCACAGACTTAAACACGCTGCATTTGCCACAGATGACCTCACCGCAGCTTCGACAGTGGTGACGCGGGCGGAACGTGCCGAAAGTCCGACTACATACAGCACAGTGCAGACGCTCGTGGTTGGGCACCCATTGTCGCTTGTCTACAAACGTGCATGAGTTCATCTGCTGTTTGTCAATAATGCGGCGAATCTGCACGATGCTGTTTACTAGCTGTGACTCAGCCGTCTTGAATGCCCATTGCGCAGGGAAATACCCACCTGGGTCGAATCGTGCCACGTGGTGTACCCTAACTACGTTCGGCTCGGCACGATCAATGCGGTACATATATCCGGCGAGGATCTTGGCGCGAACAAGTCCATGCGAATTCTCTAGCGACGGACATTCGTTGAGCTCGATCGAGTTGAGGACGCGGACGTACATTTCGTTGCCGAACGAGTCCACAATCTTGTCTTGGACCTCCAGACAGCAATAGTCGCGATGCGATACGATGGGTGTGGGGGTTTTGACAGCATACCACTTGATGCCAATGTACCTGAATGGCGTGAGAGGTGTGCGCGGGACGACCGTGAGCAGTACGGCGGCATCCATTACAGCGGGATTCAACTTCTTCATGAGTCTCCTAAATAGCGCGTCATCGTGTGCTGCGTAGGCGCGACCGACCTGGTCTAACGAGGCAGAGAGCTGTCCCTTGCAGCCCACCTCAGCAACATTGGACTTGTAGGCCTTGGGGCCGCGCACCTGACCAAAGTTGCGGTAGATGGCCACGCCCTTCTTCTCTCGCATGGGGATCCAGCTATTCTTGTGACAATCACTCAGCGCGAAGACTTTGCGGATGGAGGCCTCAGCGAATTCGATGTACTGGCGCCGCATATCCTCGGATACACGCACGTTCGTGTTGAAAAAGCCCTTGGGCAGCGGTAGCGACGTCGACATGACAGTACTGCGAGTGTCTTACTATGCTTGTAAAGTTAGAGTGAAGTGGTGGCGACGTTGACGAACGCAGCCTCGGCAAGCGAGTATTCGTGCTGTCGCGTGTCGAGATGTCGTCGCCTGAAATGCTCGGCGTAGATAGCGCCGATCTCGTCGCTGCAGTAGCTGCTGCGAGCGAACCAGACGGCGATCGATAGTGAAAGCGCACGGACTGACAGCTGGTGAAATAGCTGTCCAGAGGTGAAGTGGCCAATGCGGCACGCTCGCGAATCACGCCCGTGATAAAAAATGTGGCCCAATACCCCGGCCTCTTCAAACTGGGCATTTTTTTTACATAAAAGGCCGAAAACCAAGTTTGAGTCAGTTTGCATCCTGAAATTCTGAAAGATATCTTGCTTCACTACAGTCGTGCACCTCGTATTCGGCGGGGTGGACCATATAGAGTCTACGAGCTGCGAATATTTATAGAGGAACATTTGGAATCCAAATGTACTACTTTGTATTACCTCAATTAAGTACAAATCTCAAATCCATCTTCGACACAAAACCAGTGTGATTCCAACAGTTTCGTATGGTCATTGTCGATACGTCTTGCCAACCTTCTGAGCACCACTTCATCGCTGTATAAATAATGACGGGGGTATACTTCTCGCCTTTGTAAAACATGTCCAGCTTGGCCTTCTGCTTCTTAGCACGGTAGTGGTCCTTGAGACTTTTAATAATCCCTCGATTCAACGTAGAACGGGCGACGTGCCATGGCGTTTTGCAACAAAATTTATAATGAGCTGTTGTATGGTGAAGTGATTGAGCTGATACATCGTGGCGGAAGTGCGGCGTTTCATCCCTCCTCGAGGAGGGGAATACCATTGAGGTTATTTGGTCCAAAGGAGATGGGCAACTCATTTGCGCAATGCATGTAGCGCAATCATTAGATTGTGCAGGTTATTAAGCCATACCGGGGCCGAAGACGAGGTGCACGACTGTACTGTAGTAGTATTTTAGCCGAGCGCCGCCGCTACGCGGCGGTAATTTAGGTTTAGCTCTACTTGCTTTGGTCCTCCCGCCTCCGCTACGCTCGGCGGGATAACTAAAAAAACGATGAACCCATGTGTACCTAAATCGATTATTTTTAATTTCATTACTTTGGGTCAGCATGATGCTTACCTGGTTTAAGAAATAATTATTCTAATGCTCTTGAATCAAGATTCTTGGTGCAATATATTTTCTTTTGCTGGCTATCACTGTATCTTCATCTTTCACCCTAGACCACCAGCACTTCAAATAACATATATACAAACGCTTCACAATATGTTTCGTTTAGCGTCGTGCTCGATATCTCGGGCCATTTCTGAGCCGCTATGAAACTTAGCTCATACCAGCACAAACGATAGTAATGGCCTGTCCAGCTTGCACTACTTACCTGCTTGTACTGCCTATTCAGCTTGTAAGTAACTAAAGATTGTTCATTTCTCATATCAAACTCAATAAAAGCTAAACTATTTTCAAATGGTACTATTTTTAATGTATGTAGCGTTCATTTTGTGCTAATTGATAATTAACACTCGAATCTGTGCCAGTTATGATTGAAGCATTTGAATACTGTGTCGCAAGACGCCTTGCTGCTGTTGCTGTTGACGGTAGTGTTTTTTATTTGATAATTTAACGATGATTTCAGGATTATTGGACGTCATTAGGCTCCAAGTTTATTAACGTTTCGTTATGGAGTCTACTTAACCAACTATAATTCACACCTCTCGTGTTTTGTTGTTGTCTTGCCGCTCCATTTAAAATCGTATCGTACGCCTCTGTCGACGACATATCCGCCAGTTAAGTAGTATCGGATTTTGCTGTCTTAACAATCTTAAAAAACAATGGTTTACAGCAGTAACACATATTGTGCTTTGCACGCATTGTGGCTAAACCAGCACATAACTCGTTCTTTTAGCAAATCATCAAGAACACGACAACGTAGACTTATGTGCTCATCTCTTCGAATTAAAATTGAATAGCCCGCTTTCACGAAGAGTTAAGGTTGTATTGGGGCAGCTTTCGTTGAATAGCTGCGGTAAAAACGACAAACCAACGTCATTCCTCATTCTAACGCTTTCTCGTAGACTCTGTCATCTTAGCAATGACAATCTCAATCGACATGAGATGGCAATCTATCGTCCTAACCTATATCTACGACATCGATTTAAGTGTGGTGGCCTCTGTAATGGGGGTGTCGACGCGGTCAATCTCTCGGTGGGGACTCTTATTTCGCAGGCGTGGAAATGTGATACCAAACGCTCCTTATTGTGCGGAAGACGAGATGGCCGCCGGAATGCATCAAGTTTGTCCAACATTTCGTGGAGGAGCATCCGTGTTTCTAAATCGAAGAGCTGCAACTAGCTCTACAAGCAACATTCCCGTCACTTTCAAACATTTCAACGTCAACTATATGCCGGGCGCTGCGATTTGACCTTGGCCTCACTCGCAAGGTTCTTACCAAACGGGCAAGAGAGAGTGTTTCTGCTGAAATAGACGCTTACTACATGAAATTAGCCCCATTTTATCGTGGTCCGGAGCAGCTAGTTTTTCTGGATGAAACAGCAAAAGATGGTCGTGATGTGCTTCGTCGTTTTGCGTGGTCTGCAAGAAACACGCCAGCTATCGTACGGCAACCTTTTGACAGAGGTACATTTTGCTTTTATTTGTTCACTTTTCTTCTGTAACTAACATTTTGTGTAGGTGATCGAGTTTCAATCCTTGCTGCGATGGATGTGTCTGGGTTTATAGCTTGGGACACAGCTCCAGGAACCTTTGATCGACGTCGTTTTCACCAATCATTTCTGGAAAATGTTGCCCCATTGCTAAATCCTTGGCCTCTTCCTAGGTACGCAGCTTACTTGTGAATCGACAACACATCTCACTAACAATACTGCATATAGGTCCATTGTTATTCTTGACAATGCCAAAATCCACATGTACAGAGAACTAATAGAGCTGGTCCACTCGACAGGAGCCTTGCTTTTCTTTTTACTTCCATATATTCCGCAGTTGAATCCAATTGAGGTCGGCTTTGGTCTTTTAAAACGATGGTTGACCCGGCATACGCATTTGGCTTTCCGGTTCGACGCCAAGCGCACATTGCAAGTTGCAATGCGAAAATGTATGGAGCCATCACGTGAAGAAAACAGTAATCTATATGGACATTGTGGCTACGATATAGCTGGTCTCAACCGCGATATATTTTTTAGTTGAATGTATGATCGCAATTTGCTTGTTTAGTTATTGCTACTGTTTTTTTATTGTGCTGCGTGCTCATCGTTATCAATATTTTCAGTAGGATACGTCGTGTCGAGGTCTGCCCGAAAAGGAGGAAAAAGATTGTAGGACGGTAATCCGAGTGCTTGCCGCAATTCTACAACGTCAATATCCAGAGAAATTACACCTCCATTCAAACGGCAACTCACACGAACGAACTGGCGTTGGTCGGAGTTATTCTCCTGCTGAGCAATAATGTCGGATTGCATTGCATCAACTCGCTGCAACTGTGAGAAGGTAGCATTAGTTGGTGGCTCTAATGGTGTTCCTTCAGGTTGTCGTGCATGGGATATAGCCCAATACCGCTGTGAAGCAGGGCCATACATGTCGCGTGCTCCTTCACGCTCTAGAAGTTCACTTATTGCTGCTGCAGATGCTTGTACACGCGATTCAGTGGCGCGACGAATTCCAGTACTTGTATTAGCTCGCTGCACGTAAATGAAGAGCTCAAGTTGAAAATCAGCCTGCCTGGTACACGACAAATAGTTAAATTATTATTACTCGACCGATTAATATTTATAATGCACTTCTTACCCATTTTTTCTCCTGCTTGCTTGGTTCCATAGGCGGTTGATTCGATCAGTAAACTCACTCTGTAATGCTGGTAACGGTACGTAGTTTGATTGAGACGCATTAGCACTCGGCCGAATCAAGATAGGAGCGTCGGCTTCCCATGTGATGTCGGTATACGTTGCCAGCGAGCTGCTTATCTTGGCACGAAGAACATCGAGGCCATCATTAGGCATGAATTCGAAGATGATGGGGGCCCCGTGCGTCGTCCTGCTGTTCGTGTAAGGCTGCCCAACTTTGACAGTGAGCTGAACTTGCAATCGTGTCGGCATCGACAGCACCATTGCTATCCTGGCCAACAACGTTGACAATTAGAGGCAAGAAGAGATTTGCACCAGTGCCAGGCTGTAGATACGTACCGGGAGTGTCACGAAGACTGGCAAGCGCAGCAACACGCTGCAGGTGTCTGGTACGACGCACTGATGCTTGAACCAGGAAAATGCTGAAGTGGTTAGAGCTGCTACTAACCTCGTTTTAGCTGAACCAGAACTTATTTTTAACGTTGAGTTATGGGATCAACTTTTGAGATTTGAAGTTAAGTTAGAGGCGCTATTCATATGCCAAAGTTGGAGCAAAGCACAATATGAGTTCATTTTATTCAATCCAAAACTATCTATCTATCTTTATGGATCAAGTGACAACGTTTATTTGCAGCGTTTTGCTCTTACGGCCAGCTTCTGCTGTACATGTACTACGATTTGGCAGCTCAGTCAGTTACCTCACTCTCAGATAATTTATTAATATTTCTACAACAAAACAGTTGTAGTTATTAAAGTCACTGTAACTTGCAGAAACTATTAAGTGCAGAGTATTACATATTTTAGTATAACCTCGAAAACACGCATTCCTACGTGTACGCTAAGCACCTTGCAGCTTAGGAAGCGTCTTTAGGGGCTACTTCATTTAAGAATAAGAAGCTCTGTCTGTTTAGCACTCAAATATTAAAAGCAACATGCATTATTAGAATTTTAAATATGTAATATTAAAATGGTGCCGCCTTCGGATAATGGATAGTCTTGTGCAAATCTCCATATGTGCTCTGTGAAGAGCAATTTCCATAAGTCAGTAGCTACTACTGAGATCGGGTGATTTGATTTGTAAATAGTGTTATTGTCAGCGAATCTCAGTAGTTATGAAATAAAACTTCAATTCATATTCAAATTAAATAGTATAGTATTCTACATATGATGCGCATGCTAACAACATTTTTTTTATCTAATATGTAAATCCAACGGCACTCAACAGACGTTGACTTAATTTTCTATTGTTGTCGTCGTGCATTCGTTTCTCACTGCTACAAGCCCCTTTCTCTGTTTCCTCTCACCAGCTCGTTAGTTCCACGAGGCACACAATACACTGGCCGAATGCTCCGCTCTCGAAAACGAAAAGCTCGCACTTTCGGGTCGGCTCCATTCGTGGTGAACGTGTCAGAGCTGGATATGGCCAAGTCGCTTGGCTTGTTGAGACAAGATGTACCAATCGAAGTGACAGACTGTAGCAAGAGCAGCTACGGCGTGGCGTACCAGCGGCGAGAGAACATCGGGATCGAGACTCACGGATCTCTAAAGACAATTCAAGAGCGCTGCAAAGAACTTGCCCAATCGTCCGGCTTTCAGTTGTTTGTCAAAAGCTTTAGTAGCAAGGCAAACGATAGTGGAAATGCAAAGTACGTCTGCAAAAAACTGAATGGTCAGCAATTCTTCGACAAGAACACCTCCTATGACCAAATTGAGTGCCCGTTTGCTATCAATGTCAACGGAGTTGATGGAAGCTGGAAGGTGACTCGCATTAATTTTGCTCACAGCCACGTCATGCCTGTGGGATTCACAGAACAACCTCCTGCCGAGGGTACTATCGCTCGTTCGCAGTTGACCAAGAAATACAGCGCAAGATTTAGCGACACTGACACACTTGATCGAAGCAGAAATGCTGCCTAGGTATGATGGAAAAACTAACAAGATGACAGGCGCAGAAATTGCCAGATTCCATTGGGTAAAGGCCAAAACCTCGGGCCGAGTGTTCTTTCGCGGATCAAGAGTTCGATTGATAAGCGATTGGGTTGGTGATATGACTGACAGCTATCAGAAGCTTGAGTCTTATCTAAGGTTACTTGCTGAAAAAACCCGGGCTCAATTATGAAGTTTGAGAAATCCGGCAACGGGACTTTTATTCGAGCATGTATTATCCCAAACATCGGGATCCAAGTCGCCAAAAGAAGTCACCGTTTGTACTGCTTTTACGGAACTCATCTCAAAGGTGAGATGAACCTGCGAGGGGGTTTTCTGGTGGACTTCAAAAGACCTAAACAGATCGATACTTCCTTTCGCTTTTCTCTCGTTCCTGTTGAGAACAAGGAGCACTGGATTTGGTTTTTATACGTCGTCAAGGAGGCTTTGGGCGACATAGAAGCTTTTACAGCTCTCTCTGACAGAGATAAGGGCCTTCAAGCGGGAGCACACACTGTTTTTCCGCGCGCTGGACATCGATTCTGTCTTCGGCATATAAAAGGAAACATCACCAGCAAAGAAAAGGTTTCACTAACGAACAAAGAGCGCAAGTTAATCTCAAAAATGACCAATTGTGACTGTGAAAACGACTATAAGTTATTCGAATCAGAACTCAAAATCACAAAACCAGCTGCAGCAACATACTTGTCCGGGATTTCGAAACAGCACTGCGTGAAATATGTGTATCAGAATCATTTCAAGTTACCTACTTACGGGGAGACCACATCAAATTTAGCCGAACAATCCAACAACTGGATCGGAAACAAATGTCGAAGCGCCAAGCCTCTCGATGCCTTTGGGTTGTACTTTCGAAAATTGAGTGACCTTGTGTCATCAAAGAGACAACTAGCTGCTGCGTGGTTGGACAAGAGCCCATCCACTACATTGGTACCGAAGCTCGCAAAAAGAGAGAAGATCTCATCAAGGCTGCTGGATCATGCCAAATAACTCCGTGTTTAGCCGGTGCGTACGACGTTCTCTATGTCGTACACCACCTCTAGGGTCGGGTAGTCCGCGGCTGTTCAGGGAGTACGGTCTCGAGTAGTGGCAGGAACGGTAGCACATGATAACTTAATACACCAAAAATCTTCTTGTTTCTTTCTCTCACTCAGCTTAGGCAAGAAGTAGTAAATGTAAGACTGAGACTAATGAACGAGAGCCTACCGCCAACTCGCTTTCCTATACACGACACCGCTTCAGTTTATCTTGATCAAAATAGTCCTTCTCCATGCCATCCGTTTTCGTGCGGCGACAGGAAGGTCCGAGACGCGGTCCACCTTGCGCATCCGGCCTTGTCCCCAGCCACGTAAGACGATAGGAGGGAACTCACACACCGTTCCTGTACTCCATCGTAGCGTTCCAATACAATCACACCATAACTTTACCGGTCTCATGTGCGAAGTGAGTGGGAGCTTGCGGGGTCAACGGGAACCAGCCGCCGCCGTCGCAGCTCGTTGACCTTCGCCGAGATTCCTTGGCACGAAATCCTGCCCGCCAGCGCCTGGCACGACACCACATTCCCGGGTGCGGGACATACTCCCCGACTTGGAGTTTGCCGTCCTCGGCGAACGGATGGCCAACGCTGGCGGCGCAGGCGAGCCATTGTTTCTGGCGCACCCGAAAGGTCGATAGGATGGTCCGGCGGCTGCTCGGTTCCATAGGAGTTACCCAGGAACGCTTCCGTAGCAGGGGCATCTTCTTCCGCTGCTTGAAAGTCGTGTAGCACTTCGATACCGTCCTTGTACCGCAAGCGTTCCAAGCAGAGAGCCTCGGCACGCCAACGCTTCGAAGCGTTCAGTTGGGTAATAGCCAAAGCTTGACCGACCACACTCTGGGGTGCCATCGAAAGCAGCGGGTTATCCTCTTCGCACAGACGCAGCGCGTGCGAAATCACACCGGTCACTACGACGATAAGAGGTCTTAGCAGGTCCCAGCGAGTCCATTCGTAACAGTAGTCGTACGTCACTAGCAGCATAAGTCCGAAAGCGACACCGATAGGTCCATGAAGAACGAACTCCACTAGGTCGTAGAGGTTAATAGGTACGAACAGCAGCAACGACAGGCACAGCAACGCGACCCAGCAGACGAACTCGCCAACGCCATAACAACGAAGTAGAGTAGCCCGGCTGGCTTCCCATGAAGCTTCCAGTAACGCTTCGCGGAGTCCTTGGTGTCCACGAGCACGTTAGGTAGGTACTCGGCGAAGGTGACCTTGCATGCCATCCACCAACTGCGGAGCATCCTCCCATAAGCACCGTATCTCGCATCCTCGTCCTGAAGGACCCAGGTAGGTGCGCTAAAGAAAACGCTCCACGCCGCGAAAGCGTACACCGAACCGCGTAGTTGGCGGAATTCACGGTCTTGCAGAGTGTGTCGGTAAGAAGCGGCACACTCTCCACAGATTTCGAGGTTCATGGATAGAACGCGCCAAACCTGCGTCAGGAACACCCACCCGACGCTCCTAATGGGAGTCGTCAACACCCAGACGACGATCACGCTGGTGTATACCGGCCATAGCTCCCACCGCGCGTATTCCAGGACGAGGCTTGCTTGAACCCCCATTCCTTGTGAAGAACTTTCACAAATGAGAAGAAGACACGTCCGACTCCGCCGCGTACCGTTCCTCCAACTGCGTGGTCATTGCCCATCAATCGGTCACAGTCGACATCTGGGAGAGGGCAGTCGACAACCAACGGCGAGGTTCTCGAGAAACGCCAGAGAGACGGAGGCGGCAACCAGTCTGCCAATTTTCCGCCTCATTCGGCAATTTGCCTCCACGCGACGTTGGAGATCTCTCAGACGGAGTGTGGCACGCTCTTACTCACTGCCCACGCCTCAAGAAGTTGGAGGTCAAGATAGCCCGCGAACTCCGCGATGGGACGCTCAAGGCACCTAGGATCGCTCCCTTTGATTCCTCTGAAGCCGATCAGGACGGGTACGCATCGTTTGAGCGTACCAACGGAGCCTTCACCGCGTCTTGGGCAGGGGTCGAGGAAGAAGACGCTGAATCGGAGGAAGAAGAGTTCGAGAACGAGGACGGACCCGACGGAGTTGACGGCAAAGACGCACGGGGCTACGAATCCAGTTCGGGCGAGAGTGGGGCCGGTGGCAAGCGTCCCGTCAAGCGTCTGCACTTGTCACGTTCTCCTCCTCCTAAGTCGAAGAAGTCGGCCAAGCGTTCCACGTCACGCTCTCGTTCACTCCGGTGTTCGTACAAGCGGAAGAGTCGCTCGCGGCAGCGCGAGCGTTCACTTACGCCCGAGCGACCTCCCTTCCCC